AACCACTTAACAAGGCACAGTCTATTTTGCGACCGAAAGAGGTCAAGTAGAGCACAAGTAGGCCACTGTAATTGGATATTTTGTGATGTTTCAGGCCGTGCTCCATTTATTTTACAAGGAACAAAACATTGCAAGCTCTCTTTTAAAAAAAAAATGGAATGAAAGCACAACATTTGTCATCCCCAATTTGTTTTAGGTCTTTCAAAATGAATGTAATGCCATAGAAAAATATATTAGTTTCTTTTTAAATGTTCTAGCTTAGAAAAAGTTACCCATATTTTTGTATTCCAACTTCTTAGATTTTCAATAGTTTTAAGATTGCATACGTTCTGGAGTAATTTGGCCGGTTTGTACTCTTCAGACATTTCATAAGTGCCCAAAGTTATTTTTTCGGACGGCACAATTCTGATATACGGTGCAATGATCCTGGTTTGCACCTTCAAAGAGGAATATGATAACGAATGTGGTTTTGGAGTTCTTTAGGATTTCCATAATCTCTTTTACTAGGTCCTGTCGGAGACAGACGTTTAATTCGGAGGTTCAACCTCCTAAATTAGCGAACAATGTTAATTTTGATTATATACCCCTCCCCCACCGTACAGCAGATTACCCTCCCAATTGTGTCTGTCCTTGTGGCAATAACCCCTGCAGATCACTTTTTCATTATTATCAGGAGATGTCAACTGACTACGAAAAATGAAATCCTGAAACTCTCGGACACTTTGAAAGGCGCGCATGGGGAACTCGAAATCGACTGATCCTTCTGTCGGGCAAAATCCGGACAATTTGAGGAAACTATTTCTGGACTTTACCCAGAAATTCGGTACCTCTGTATTGTACATGTGGTCAGACACATTCGTTTCAGGGATACATATTTAAGAGAAAAATAACGATAACACGAAAGTTTAGAACAAGGAGGTTTATGGTGAGCAAGGTGAAGCGATAATGTACACAACGCAGTAGTTCAAAATACTCGATTCAGGAAAGCAACAAACTTGAGGAATAAATGGAAACATTTCCTGGCTGTTTTTCATAACAAAAGTACAGTACTGAGAATTGAGGGAAGGACCTACCTGCGTAAGAAATCCATATGTTCTGAGTGACGTAACAGGCCGGTTCTCATCATGATACTCTGGAAGCACTGGCGGTCGATGGCCCATAATCGACAGTTGGTAAGGGCTGGAGAAGTTATAGAATGCAAAAAGAAAATTAAAAATCCACATTATGCTTAGATTAACAGAAATGTTTCAGGACTCATCATGAAAAATACACAATGTTCAAGATTAGCGCTAAAAGGGCAATAAAGTATCTCTCTCTCTCTCTCTCTCTCTCTCTCTCTCTCTCTCTCTCTCTCTCTCTCTCTCTCTCTCTCTCTCTCTCTCTCTCTCTCTCTCTCTTTCTTGAGATCTTCTGTTTCTCTTGAAAGAAATATGCAATTATTCAACGCTGACAGGAAAAACAAGTGACAACGTTTACCAACTATTATAGTAAAGTTGTTCAAAATCACACCGAGGAAGTATCCATCAGTTGCCACGCATTGTTTTCCCCCTAGATCTCTATTGTTTCAATTTATAGTTTGTCATTCATAAGAGCTATTGCAATATCATTATGCCTTCATTTTGATTCTATGCGAAGACCAGGACATGTTTATACAACACTAGCACTGTCTTTGGCAAAATATGTGTTTGAAACATTGTGATGGAAGCACTGTTATCGTACAGTAAGTTCTTTAGACAACCCCCACCCCCAACCGCCGCCTCCACTTAAGCTTTTGTTTTACCAACAAAAAGAAAATGTATAATTACAATATAAATGATCCCAAGCATAAAGGGCCCAGTTTTAGTATCGCCATTTTCCCTCATCACATGGAAAACAACTCCCTAATCAAACAGACCACGGAAACCTAAAAAATTAACAGTTACTTGTCACCAAGTGTGAATTAAGTAATCAAACACACCGAGTAAAAACCTTTTGCACATAGTTCACGAGTCCATATCTATCTGTCTGTCAGTCAGTCCGTCTGTCAGTCTGTCTGTCTGTCTGTCTGTCTGTCTGTCTGTCTGTCTGTCTGTCTGTCTGTCTACAGATAGCATAACCCCCCCACCCTCAATTTTTGAGAAAGACGAACATATCGGCAAGATTAAATAAACGATCCGACTTGAAAACATACTATTTACGGTCTACCGTAACGGGAGGAGGGGGGGGGGACACAAAGTTGAAGTCGCTTTCAGTAACAAGTTCACAGAGAAGGCACATGAGTAGCAGACACGTCTGAGAAGGAAGCAATATGTCTGACCTGGCGGTCAACCAGACAGGCAGGAAGTCTCCAGAGAACCCGAGACATGCGCAAAAAGCAATACGTCTGCACGGCCTCAGGGTCACGGGCAGAGACGACAAGACACCCATGAAGTCAATAGACTTACTTCGAGGAAGATACGTCTTGGAAAGCAGTCAAACTTTCAAGGGACTGAAAGAGCTGTGAAATTAATCCCCCCCCCCC